ACACGTTTCGCCATTTAATAGACCCACATGGCGAGTCTAATTTTCACTAATACAGGTTTGCCACTAGATTAGCTGATATTAAGGAAAACAGCAAATTCAAGAGCTTAGAGTCAGATGGCTTGTGCACAAATCTCAAAGAGCTCGTTGATACCATCAAACAGAAATATGGCCTGAAGTAAGATTTAGAAGCGAATGTAATTTTAGTTCTTGTTAGTCTTCTGATTTCTAACATTTGAAGTTACTGATTAATGCAGATACGTCTATATGTGGCATGCTTTAGCTGGTTACTGGGGAGGAGTTCTTCCTACATCTGAAACTCTGAAGAAGTACAATCCCAAGATAGTATATCCTGTTCAATCCCCTGGAAACTTGGGAAATATTAGAGATATTGCCTTGGACAGCTTAGAGAAATATGGAGTTGGAGTAATAGATCCTCAAAAAATCTATGATTTCTATAATGATCTCCACCGTTATCTTGCTAGTTGTGGAGTTGATGGCGTCAAGGTTGATGTCCAAAACTTGATAGAAACATTGGGTTCTGGATTTGGCTGACGAGTATCACTGACCAAGAAGTATCATGAAGCTCTTGATGAATCTATTGAGAAGAACTTCAAAGACAATAACCTGATTTGTTGCATGTCTCATAATTCAGACTCTATTTACAGGTTTACCTTCTACCCGACCTGTCTCAGTTTCAAATTTCATCAGCACCAAATTATGTCTTGAATGTGTTGGTGTATTTTTCAGTTCAAAGAAGAGTGCAACAGCTAGAGCATCAGAAGATTTCATGCCTAATGAGCCAACTTTCCAGACCTTACATGTTGCGACAGTGGCTTATAACAGCCTTCTACTTGGGGAAATACTAGTGCCAGACTGGGACATGTTCCACGTAAAAATTCCCGTGTTAATATCATTTACGTCATCTACAGCTGGAATTTATAAAATTTGAAGTAGAGTTCTCTGAAATGCTAATACTCGCTCTTTCTTGTTGTAGAGCAATCACAACACTACTGAGTTCCATGGTGCAGCAAGAGCATTAGGTGGTTGTGCAGTTTATGTGAGGTAAGTCACTTGTATGGTTCTCATTAAGATGTCGAGGACAAGAAAATTAAAAGGCCTAATGCACTTCATTTAACTTTTGATATATCGACTCTATTAAATTTCAGTGACAAGCCAGGGAAACATGACTTCAACATACTCAAGAAACTAGTTTTACCTGATGGATCCATCTTAAGAGCAAGATATGCTGGTCGACCAACTCGAGATAGCTTATTTGTTGATCCAGTCATGGATGGGAAAAGGTAAATCTCATATTGTTAATTACATCCATTGATCTAGTTAAACAAAGACAAAACCTTGATCAAGCTTATCTAACACAAAAACCAATCTTTTTGACCAATTAACAGCCTGCTTAAGATTTGGATTTTGAATAAGCGTACTGGGGTAATAGGTGTTTTCAACTGCCAAGGAGCTGGAAGTTGGCGACTGAAAGAAGCAGCTCCAAATGTACCTAACTCAACAGCAGCAGAAAACCCAATCACTGGCCATGTTAGCCCTATTGATGTTGAATTCTTTGAAGAAATTGCAGGACAAAACTGGAGCGAAAACTGTGCAGTATATGCGTTCAATTCGGGTAAGTGCCTCATTCGCCGTGTAAACTGCTTGGCAAAACACAAATGCTAATGCTCAGGCTATTTTGATTTTCAGGATCTCTATGCAAAGTACGAAACAGAAAAAGAATTGAAGTGTCGTTGGGTGTTCTAAAATGTGAAATATTTACTATCTCACCAATCAAGGTAATTGATAAAGCCACTTTTTTTGTTTCTTATTGCTCACTGTTTCTAAAGCAGCTCTGACATGAAATATTTGAATGTTTATATACCAACAGGTCTTGGGTGAAAATATTGAATTTGCTCCAATTGGTCTGATTGAAATGTATAACTCAGGAGGAGCGATTGAGGATGTAATGTACAGTTCCGATGATCTTCCAGATCGCTCAATAAACGTGAAAGCAAGAGGATGCGGTCAGTTTGGAGCATATTCAAGCTCAAAACCAAGTTCATGTAAAGTGGACATGAAAGAGAATGATTTCACTTACAATGCAGAAAATGGATTATTGGTGATAAACCTCGAGGGGGATTGCCATGTGCGAGATATTAAACTAGTCTACTAAGTTAATGTCCTCTCGTACGTGAAGAAACTGAAGAGCTTTTCCACACAGTAGCAGAGAGAAGTTTTAGGAGGTTGACAAAGGGAATGTGATTTGACTGCAGCTTCTCTAGTTTAGTCCTGGAAATGATCTTGTTATTATGTTAAGAGAAATACTGCACATTTTCATCCTTGTGATGGATTGGCTACTGGATTTGGTTTCTAACTTTCTATGCCAGTTTAGCTAGTTATTTATTTGCAGTTTAGCCAATTCAGTTGACTGTATGTAAGCAGATCATGTTAGCAGCATTTTATTATAAGCTCTTTTGTAATCGTTTCACCGATGTCAATACAATCCAATTTCTTACTATGTTCTTTTCGAGGTTCTTGATTCACCTTGTGACAGATCTTAATGCTGTATGTTTCCCTCGAAAACATTTCAACGCTGCAGCTCAAATGCTGAATCATTTTGTTCAATGATTCAACCTGTTGCATTAAGTTGAACCTTGACTTTCTCTTGGAAAAGGATAAAAATAAGATATGATTGCCTCTTTAGAAGTTAGAAGAGCGAGCCTCTTCCCATTTTCTCTATTGATTCATTTTTCTTGATTCTCCTTGCGCAATTCCGCTCAACCCCTTCTGCCCACTTAGCTCCGCCCCTTCAATGTCTACTTTTTACATTGTTAATTTTTTTGTTAAGATGCAACCAAAATTTAGATAATCAATAAAAAACTTTTAGTCTTATAGGTATAATTCATAATCGCAAAATACAAATCCAGCATTATGGGTTCCTAACAAGTTAATAAATCAGGAAATTACAACTCACAAATTAATAATTCATAACTAAAAAGTAGTTTTTGAATGTAATTATTTGGAAGCTGATACTCACTAACACTTAATAACTGAATAAACAAATCCCGTACCCCATCAAATTGCTTACGACAATATTGTTATTAAACGGATATTATCACTTTTAGCCCACGTCAGAAACTATTTACATTCACTAGCCGAAAAGTGTATAAAATTTATATAATTTTTGTATATAACATACATAATGTATATATACAAAAATATTTTTTTTTCGGCTATTATTTTGAGAGCAGCTATGCAGTGTCATTTTCCCGTTATTAAACGGTATAGAGTGTAAAATTTAATAGGGAAAAGACCGGAAATAGCCAGATTTATAATTGGTCCGTTTATTACTCCTTCCGTTCCAGTTTATGTGAACATATTTCCTTTTTGGTCCGTTTTAAAAAGAATGACCCCTTTCTAAATTTAGAAACAATTTAGCTTAATCTTACAATTCTACCAGAAGCTTTTATAACTATACAAATACTCTGTGCCCCTTTTTAACTTGTTTAGGACCACAAATTCAAAAAATCTCATTTTTTCTTAATTTTTGTGCCCAATCAAACATGTTCACATAAATTGCAATGAATGGAGTATTAAATTATATGACGAGTAAAACTGTGTCATCTAAATTAAAACGGAGGAAGTATATATAGAATGACTGTATATACTCTGTAAGTCTCAGCTTGAGATATATTTAGTAGTAGTGCTAGTGTTAGAAGTGAGTAGGCGTCGACGACATCATAACTGGCGCCGATAATGAAACTGAAGTTTATCGGATGAAGTGGGGTCCAGCGTACCCATTTCATTTCCATTGGTAATTGAAAATTGGAGACTCGCTTCCGGTGTTTTGTGTGACAAGAAAGTGCCACCGAAATTTAAGGGTAAGTTCTACAAAGTGGTGGTCAGACCAACGATGTTGTATGGAGTTGAGTGTTGGCCAGTCAAGATTGCTCATGTCCAAAAGGTGAAGGTAGCAGAGATGAGGATGTTGAGATGGATGTACGGGCACACCAGGTTAGATAAGATCAGAAATGAGGTTATTCGCGATAAGGTAGGGATGACCTCTATTGAGGACAAGATGCGGGAAGCGTGACTTATGTGGTTTGGTCATGTGAGGAGGAGGAGCAAAGACGCCCCGGTGAGGAGGCGTGAGAGGTTGATATTGGAGGGCCTACGGAGAGGTAGAGGTAGGCCAAAGAAGAGGTGGGGAGAAGTGATTAGGCAAGACATGACGCAACTTCAGCTGACCGAGGACATAACTCTTGATAGGAAAGTATGGAAGTCGAGAATTAGAGTAGTAGAAGTAGTGTAGAGTGTTCATAACTTTAGTATTGTCACGCAATCTCATTTTCTGTTGGTAGTAGATTTTTATGACTAACCATTGTTTTCTTTCATTGCTGATCACTTTACTGTCTTGTTGTTTTATTCTGCTTTTATATGACTTTTTGATATTGTCTCTTCTTGCCTATATTTTTATTAATGTGGTACTTATACTATCTTGAGCCGATGGTCTATTGAAAACAATGTCTCTATCCTCACAAAGTAGGGGTAAGGTCTGCGTACACACTACCTTCCCCAGGCCTCACGGTGTGGGATAAATGCTGGGTATGTTATTATTATTGTTGTTGTTGTTATAATTTCAAAAGTGATTGAAATTTAGCGACTTTCATGTAAAGATAAAATTTGAACAAAAACGCCCTTAAAATTCGGAAAACTTCCAATATAATATACTGAAAGTTTATACACAGGAGCTCCATATTCCATCATATTATGCTGGAACTTTCCGTGTGCTGGAGTTCCAACATAATATGTTCAAAGTTTATACGCAGGAGCTCCATAATCCAGCATATTATGCTGGAACTTTCTGTGTTTTAGAAAAATAATGACTATTTTTACTATTTTTCAATTATCCGTCCGAAAACTGGCTAGTCCGTGCTATTTTCACAATTTAATATAAAATAAAAATTTAAAGAAAGGCCTACTGCGTACATACTGTGGAAAATCTTAGTAAAATCATCAAAAAAAGTCGGACCATCAGCCGGCTACAAAACCTCTGCTCTCTACTCCACCTTATCCTCTTTCCCCCTCATAAACCCTTTGCTTCATCCTCCCTCTTTACCACCAATGTCTTGCGCAATCAAACCCTTAACCAAGCCTTTATCCATGGCAACTAATGGCTGCCTTATCTCCCTCCCTCCTTTCTTCACCACCACCAAATCCATTTCTTCCTACCCTTTTCTCTCCACCCAATTAAAACCAATTTCACTCTCTTCCTCTTTACCCACTTTATTATCCCTTAATAAGAGAACTACCCAATTCCCAACTTTTGTTTCTGTATTATCTGAAGATGACAACACCCTTGTCCTTGATGACCAAGAACAAGGTGGGGATTTTCCTAGCTTTGTTGGTGAGGCAGGGGAGACTGAAGAATACCAAGAACCTTCGGAGGATGCTAAATTGTTTGTTGGGAATTTACCATATGATATAGATAGTGAGGGGCTTGCTCAACTTTTCCAACAGGCTGGTGTTGTTGAGATTGCTGAGGTAACTAACTTTAACAATGGGGCTAATTTCATTGACAAGTTTTGACCTTTTTAAAAAATACAAAAAAGATTTGAGCTTTACGTATCAGATGGAACTGAATTTTGGTTTTGCAGGTTATTTACAATAGGGAGACTGATCGGAGTCGTGGATTTGGGTTTGTGACGATGAGCACTGTGGAAGAAGCTGACAAAGCTGTGGAATTGTACAGTCAATATGTGAGTTACACTGGTTGTTCTTTTTTCTTTGATGCGAATTGAGATTGTAGTTTATTCTTTGATTGACTATCAAATGCAATGCTTGAAAGCATGTTAAAGAAAAGTTGTTGAATATGTGGATTTTTTTGTCAATTAAGTGGGGCTTGAAGATGGTTTCTATTATATTTGCAAGATTTTTATTCTTCTTGGTGCTTAAAAAATGCTGATAAGAACCTCCGCCGCACCCTTTTTGAGAAACTATATAGGTTAATTTTACAACAACAACGACCCAGTATAATCCCACAAGTGGGGTCTGGGGAGGGTAATATGTACGCAGACATTACCGGCAGAGAAGCTGTTTCCAGGAGACCCTCGGCTCAAGAAAGCAACAAGAGACGATATATTAGTACCATCAATAGACTCATAATAAAATAACAGCAATATAAGAGATACGAAATATGAAATACGAAATACGAAATAGATGGATGGTATAGTGATAACCAGCAGATAAAGCCCTGCATCAGTAGACGACTAGTAGCATCCTCAGACTAACTCCTAACTGGCTAGTCTCACTCTAGTGTTCTGTAGAAATATTCACAACTTTCCCCTAACCTACAACCTTAATGCTCGACCTCCACAATTCCCTGTCAAGGGCCATATCCTCAGTAATCCTAAGTCGCGCCATGTCCTGCCTGATCACCTCTCCCCAATATGTAGGTTAATTTTGTATTTGTAAATTCAATGGAGGCTCCAAGAGTCATTTTGCCTCTAAAGTCTAAATTGTTTAGATTTCCTAATATCATGTACAATGTGAGAAATTGCTCTTTTACTTTATCAAATTGTTTATAAAATCTCTGTGGAACTTAAATATCCAGGGCAAAGGTTAACGAAACAATTATTTGCAATAGTAGATGTCTTCGAATTTCTTATTTTATACCAGCCACCTATTTCGTATTTCGTATTTTGTATCCTGTATTTCATATTCCATATCTCTTATATATTGTTGTTGTTATTGTTGTTATTTTTATTACGCATTTTTTATGGTACTAATATATCGTCTCCTATTGTTTTTTTGAGCCGAGGGTCTCCTGGAAACAGTCTCTCTACCCTTCGGGGTAGGGGTAAGGTCTGCGTACATATTACCCTCCCCAGACCCCACTTGTGGGATTATACTGGGTCGTTGTTGTTGTTGTTGTAGTAGATGTCTTCGAAAGAAAGGATGATGTTTATATCCACCTGCTGATATTTGGCAGTGTAAGATTTTATGACGATTTCCGAGAGTGAAAAAATTCTTTCTGATAGATAACTTGTATATCTTAGATAACTTATAAGTATATCTTTTGGATACTTTTCAAAATTGCTAGCCTGCCAGGTATGAAGTAAAGGAACTATGTTTATAGTGCTGGATATGCTGTTGGTCAACTCTAGTGTACGGCAGTGTCTATTTAAGTAGCTTGTGTGTCATATGCTGGTAACTTTGCACTGAGAGTCTCACGCCTATTTTTTTTAAATTTTTTTTTTTTGACAGTGAGTCCCACGCCTAATATGGTAATGATCTTTCAGCTATGCTTAGACATTACTATCCAGGTCTCCCTGTTGCTTCTCTGGACAACCATGTGAAGTTTAATGGTAGTTCTCCATGTAGTTTTTGACTGAATATGCTGGTCACTTCAAGACGAGTTGGAGTAATAGAAAATCTGATGTTTGTCATGTGCTATGCCCTTGAACAGTCTCTTGAGAAGAGATCCATCATACAATTCAGTAATTTCTTGCTTATGATGTGTGACACATGGACACCTTGACATATTACTGGACTATCTCTAGAAACTCCTTTTAATTTTTTTTTTATTCGAGTAGGATCTCAATGGAAGGCTATTGACAGTCAACAAAGCTGCTCCAAGAGGATCACGGCCAGAACGTGCACCTCGAACATTTCAGCCTACTTACAGAATCTATGTTGGCAACATCCCGTGGGACATTGATGATGCACGCCTTGAGCAAGTCTTCAGTGAACATGGTAAAGTCGTAAGTGCTCGGGTGGTTTTTGACAGAGAGTCTGGACGGTCACGAGGCTTTGGTTTTGTGACGATGTCAAGTGAAGCTGAAATGAGTGAAGCAATCGCCAACCTTGACGGACAGGTGATTTGCACACAGATTATTACACTCTCATTGTTGCACGCACATATGCACACATGTAGTTGATAGTAGTTGATCATCTCCAAGGGTTGTGGTCCATCCATGAGTTTGATTCTAAGTGCTTTGACACCTTTAACTTTTAATCTGAAAAAGAAAAAGTTGATTCCTTTTCAAGATTTTTATGATAGATCAACCTTTTCACTTTAGAATTTAAGGGGTTTTCTCTTTTAAATTAAGTGACTGCAATCTAAATTTTGAACTAAAATAAATTAATCTCGAAGTTACTAGATATTAATCTTGATCTCTGACATCCCTATATTTTGAGTCCTATATGAGGACATTTGATCATGAAACCAAATTTAAACTTCGTAAATTTCTAACTCATTCATCCGTTAGTCATTGCATATAGTCTTTATCCACTTATTTAAATAATTGGCGGCGTACACGATTAATCAGACAAGTTTGACGTGTTAAAGTTTCGGAAAGAGGAGTTGCTTGCCTTACACACACCATTCACCTTAGCACTGGAACTTTTACCAATGGAAAGCTATATTATATATCTGATTCATTTTCTTTAGATGAGAAATTGTGGATCCCTTCTTAGTGAGGACAACCGGATTAGTGTACTCAAAATTTAATACGATTAACTTATTCGATAAGACTTGCAAATATGCAATGATAATCATTCACTTTAGTATAGTCTTAGTATTTAGATTCTCGATGATTTGTCCACGGACTAAATGCCCTCTATGTGTATTATTGGCAATACAGACGTTGAAAAGTTTGTTGCTTGGTTGGTGGTTACTTTCATTGATGGATTCTTGTTTTAAGATATGGTTTCTTTCAAAATCTTTGATCTTGGAGCTAAAATTTCTCATTCGGTGTATTTCAGACTCTGGATGGGAGGACTATCAGGGTTAATGCTGCTGAAGAAAGACCTCGGCGCAACACATACTGAATTTGATCATACATTTATTTGTTCGATTGACATAGCAGTCATGCCAGCTATGAGTAGTTAGATTTTCATTAGACGTCTTCGATTTAGCTCTCTACTTCTTTGTTTTTATTCCTTGATTGCTTATATATAGGTATGGGAACTTCTTCTTTCTTTTTGGCTCTTGCCCTTTGGAAATTCTGAATTGGAGGATTGAATGCATTAAAATTTTGACTGCTATCAACTATCTGTGGTGTACTGATTTGCCGTTACCTTAACCTAGATGTGCACTGGTTGCTTTCCTTAAATATCTTTGTGATTTCACGATTATTAACATGATAAATGCATAAGTAACTTTGCTGATTGTACTAGATTATGCAGCTGCTATCTGCTCTCCCGACTCGCATAGGTGGAAGGGGTTAGAAGTTCTCTAGGTTAGGGGCGGTAAAAATTATGGCATCGCTGGGCTGCAGTATTGTTTTTTCCAGAAGATGAGATACAACATACCCAATCTCTTACGTTGGGATTAAGATTAAGAATAGATAAATTCTCGTTGGGACATACCATTACGGTTGTTGAACACAGGCAAAACACAGCGAAATGAAACTTTTATCTTCTCAAATATCTAGTAGCAAAACATAACTTATTGACATTTTGGTGCAGAAACAAGAAAGTGCATTGAAAGCTTCGTTATCATCGAGGAACCACGGGAGAGAATTTGCATGGAGATTAAATACAAAATCATCTGGATTGTTCATTCTTTACAGGCCAAGAGGTGAAAACTGTACAAAGCATCAAAGGAAACTGCAAAGGAAACTGCAAAGGAAACAGAAGCTAGTTATAAATGGGTAACCAAGACTATCACCACCCGACATGACGGCGTTATGTGCCCTTTAACTGTGCTTCCCGACTAGTCAGTGGAACATAACGGACGGAAGTCTCACTTCGAACGCTTATTGAACCATCCAAATTCTTGTCTATAACCTTGAGATCTTGGAAAAAAGTTCCCACTGGAATCACCATCCTTCCCCCGGGCTTTAACTGGTCGATGAGATCCTGTGGAACATCAGCTGCAGCTGCTCCAACGTGAATAGCATCATATGGTGCATGCTCTGGCCAACCCTTCCTCCCGTCTGCAATGATGCAAAAGTCATCACGAAAAAACACTTATTTGTCAACATACTCAAAAAATCTCCCAATAAAACTTGTCCAAATGAGGGGCATGATAGGCAGCAAAACAAGAAATAAGATTAAGCAACCATCTACGAACACAAACTACTTTGGTTCGAATGTCTCCTAATGCTCTCTTTGGTGCAAGTTATTTGGTTGTGATCAGCAAACAGAGACGTATCCAATTAAATTACTTAAAACACGAATCTCTGTATGACCTAATCCATAAGTTCCTGAATAAACTACATGAAAAGTACAAAACCATACCACCAACATGCAATGAGAGAGACCCTTCTTTTAACAAAGGAGCTGCTGCACTTCTTTCAACATTCTTGGTCGACCATGCAACCAACTCTGGTATATGCTCCACACCAACAGCTCGACCTTGTGGTCCAACCATCAGAGCAAAACATGCTGTGAGATACCCAGTTCCTACACGAAACAAAGCTATTAGCTTTGACAAGAAAAGGTCATCCTTCATTCATTCAATCAATCAACTATTCTTTAATCCCTATAGATAGGATTTCATTGCTTACAACCCAACAAGAATAGATTCTAAAAGCTTGTCAGTATCTCCTGATGTGTTTCATAAGAGAAAATAAATATCTGTTAACAATGGCATGAAAGTTCCAAATCTTTTTCTTTTTCTTTTTCGAGACAAAGGCAAGTATGAAAGTTCCAAATTTTGCAAACCACACGTTTGATTAATTTATCAGTTCTCTCTCTAAAACTCCAAATAAGAGCTATGGTTACAGAAAACATTTCTACTAGTGAAATAAAAGCTACCTTGAAGAAAAATCTCGTCATTACGTAAAAATGACTTCTCAAAAGCTCATGGTAAATGAAACACTCACTTATAGTTAATACAGGAAGAACTTATCCATTAAAAAGAAAGTACAGAAAGACCAACTCTTCATTCAGAGCAACACAGAAACACCAAAAATCTTGCTTCAATCTATAAGTCAACATTATCCTCTTCCTCTAACCCAATCCTAGATTGATTCTTTCACTTCTGTCTAATTCCAACCCATCAAATACCCAATGATTTTCCTAACATAAAATAAATTTTTGATACCTACATAAGATATCTACACAAGCTATTAACTGTTCACCTGGACAGGCCAATCATGCAAAACGATTAACATTCTTCTGAAACTAGTATTTCCCCCATTGGATTGGAGGTTATTTTTTATTTTAAGATCCAAGGAGCTCATAGCACAAGTGTAGAGTTGATACTACACCGAACTGTAATGCTCTGCTAGATGGCATCCGTTTGACAAGCAACCACAATACAAGGAACTTAATGAGAGAAAAGTTGCGCAGCAAAAACTGGTCACATTTTCAATCCACTGATGGTGTTGATACATGCTCATACGTCACAAGCTATTGACCTAGGGAAACAAAAACAACCACGTCCAGAATATTGAGAACCAACAAGCTGCTAACAATCTCTCACTGAGTGCATAAAAACCACGCAAATTATGAGAATGTCCGTCCCCCCTTAGGGAGTTCTCTAAGTATCACATTTATTCCTGGGAGAGCACAATTCTATCATAACTTGGACAGCTGAATGTTTGACGGATAGAGTCAAAATATATCCTAAGGTCCCAAATTAGAGCAATGGAATTATGTCTTCTATGTTTAAAACTAATAAATATGTGCTCTTGAATTGTTCTCATATTTAAAATTAAATATCAGCTATCTACTATTTTGATTGAGTTATTACCAAGGAACCTCTTATTATTTGCGCAAAAGGAATGATATCTTAGGCTTCTGCTGTCTCTACCCGTGCATTTTGACACCTATATACTCGTTTTCAAAGAAATACTGATATCCCCCAATTAATTTGCAGAAACAAGTGAGCTCATTAGACAATTACCTGAACCGACATCCAGAGCATGCATGCCAGGCTGCAACCTGTCCTCCAATAATTCGAGACACATAGCATGCATATGAGGAGCTGAGATAGTGGCATTGTAACCTATACTCATGGGGCTATCAATGTAAGCGGGAGTACCCTCAGGTACAAACAAACCCCTATCAACAGTTTCCATTATTTCTGTTACTTTCTTTGATTTTATTACTCCATATCTTTGCAACTGCTCAATCATTCCCTTGTTTCTGTTAATGCCACTTCCACTCAGAAAATGCTGTTGACAAACATAAAACAAGATTGAAGTAAGAGATAACAAATATGCCCGTCTGTTGACCTGCTCAAGGTTGACCGGAAAACAGAAGAAAAAAATGCAGAGTTAAAACATTTGAATTATGTAACACAAAAATGGTAGGTGATGTAAGATTTTATTCATAGAGGCAGATCAGGTAATGTATCCGCAAAATTTGCTTCCTAGAAATTTCCATGGAAAATATACTTAGTTATCTAGGCACACCAATCTCCTCTTTCTGTTGAATTTCACATTGAAGCTTGAAAAGAAAGCTCAATTAGAAGAAATTCATAGCATTCTAACACACCTTTAGATTGTACCACCCATTAGGAATACTGATCCAGCCTAATATAATATACAAGCCTAAGAAAAGAAACAAAGGCTTGCCAAATTATTGAGTAACGTCTTTAAAATAAATTAAAAAAATATATTCCTCGCATGATCAAGCTTACCGAAATTAGAAATCATCCTATCCTCACAACTCCTTTTTTTATTTAGATTTTTTTAAGGGAAAAAGGAAAAACAATGTGCACCGAATATTAGCTAATTGGATGCTTTATTTGAACCTAGGACACTAACAATTTGAGACGGGTGGGGATTTGGGGAGGGGAGGGGGACAGCCTTTAACATTATGTACTTCGTAAAGACCACTTAGAACACAAGGGCATGGCTTACAATGTATCGCTGATTATAATCTCTAATAAACTTAGCTAATCAAAATAACACCAAGACCAGGTAATTATACTTCCACATCACAACAATTAGGAAAAAATTCGATAGCACTCAAAAAGTTTCCAGAAGATTCTAAAGAATTTTACCAAAGAGAAACTAATCATCCGAACGAGTTTCATTGCAGTTGTATAAACAAGTCCAGTCACCAAACTTTCTCCGTTACTAGTAATAATATTTTCTATTTACTGTTCGAAATCAAAACGTATCATTTCTAACCATTGAAGTAAAACAAAATTATTAGAAATATAAAATATACTTCCATAGATAGAATTAGTACCTCCATTCGGGAGAAGAGAGAATTCCCCGTGAAGAAATTGGGGTTAGGAACACGGCAAAAGGATGAAGAGAAGAGGGGGACGTTAGGAGGCTGAAGAGTATGGAGTTGGTGAGTGTAGAATAAACAAGTGTGCTTTAAAGGCGCACGGTAGCGGAAACCATACGCTATAGCTGACACAGAATGCAGCAAGGATATTGAAGACGGCATTATTTCAACTCTAGCTACTTCTCCATCCTTTAATTTAGCACGCATTTCTCCTTTTTCTTTCCTCACTCTTCTCTTCCCACGTGTCTTCTCCATCTTTTTTTTGTTCTAATTGGGCCTTCAAATTTCACTCTATAATGGGCCTCAGCTAAGTTGTAGTGTGGGTGGGCTTTGTCTGACCTATTTTGCGGACCCAAAGCCCATAAAAACCCCATGAGAAATTTTCATAAAGCACTATCTTTTAGTGGTAATTAGCTATCTATACATACCATTTGCTATATAATGGATTGTAGATATGTTTTTTGTTGTTATAAGATGTATTAGATGTATTTAAGCTACTGTATTCATGAATACAATAGCAAAAACAGGCGTGAATCATGGAAGTCCAGCTAATCAGTTGTTGTATTCGAGTGTATTCGACTGTATTCATGAGCGTGAAACGTGGGATTACAACTGAACATATTATTGTATTTGACTATATTCACGGCATGAAACAGGGGATTACACTATTTTTAAACGGAAAGTGAATCAATTAACATAATAAACTCCTAATATAACTCAACAAACTCAATTATAACGCACAAATTTTGTATTTCCTTGTATAAAAAAGATTCTCAACCGAAAAATACCCCAAAACATAGCAATCTTCAGATAAATTATATAATACATCTGAATACATAAATTATACTCCATCCGTTTCAATTTATGTGAACCTATTTCTTTT